CAAATAAATAAATAAAATCTTTAAAAAAATAAAATAAAATAAAATCTTAAAAAAAAAAAAAAGATGACCTAGAACATTTCACTGACCCACCAGCCGTGAGTTAGCCATGACCCTGGACTGGCATGAGGACAGCCTGATCCTGGCTCCCATCTAGAAAGTCACAAGTGTGGTGTCACCCTGATGCTGTACCCAGACCCACTGTCCCTTCTATTGGGAGTTTTCTTCTGTAGTTTCCTCTCCCCCACTGGGACAATTTGCTGCTTTCAAACCAAGTAGTAACCAAGACAGTAAAGTTATATTTCCTACTTCAAAGATCTGAGGCACTTTTGGCAAAATAATAAATTTATTACATATGATCGGCAGATAGTTGTCGCTGATATATTATTCTCTCAATGTTTGCGCAAAATTTCAAAATAAAAAATAATTTTATACACCATACAATCACAGGGGTCCTTGAGGGTCTCCACACATTTTTTGAGCTGGCTGACTTTCAGCTGTGAGACCTGGTTCCCAGCCTTGAAGCTGCAGGGGGTTAAGTTTGCCACCCAAGGTGGCTGGCATTTTCCCAGCTATAAGGACGAGGTTCTACTTCAGAGATGAGCGGCCTTCTCTAAAGGGACCGATAAAGCCCCCTGAAAGCAGAAAGGAGAGGAGACAGGCCAGATGGGACTGGGGCTGAATCAGAGGGCCTCCGGAGGGAGGACTGCCCTATAACAGCAGTAGGTAACTTTGAAGTAAGAACTTTCTTCTAGTAGTTTCTAGAACCTGAAGAGGGGACCTGGCAGAACCCTCGAAGGGATCCTGGAGTACCCAGGATGCCAGGGAGGTACGTGCCCTTGGTTAATGAGAAGTCCTGGCCAGTGGTCCCCAGTCCTAGAAGGCACCGGTCAGGTTGTTGGGCAAGGACAGCCCTTGACTAAGACAACCGGGCCCGCACGACCACGCTGGAATTGGTCACACGGGCTCCATAGTGACCAGCCCAGAACTGCGTGTCCTGGCCCCAGTGTTCGAAAGACACAAAGCGGACGCCCATCTTGATGTTGGAGAACACGTGGGTGACCTGTAGGTAGAGAAGAGATCAGGCAGGTTGCACCCCAGCCTTCTTCTCGAAAGCTGAGCCTGGGGCCTTCTGGCTCAGCGGAATCGCATGGTTCCTCATCCTAATTCCTGTCTCCTTGAGTCTGGGTGGGTGGGTTTTGTTCGTAACCAGGAGCATGGCGGAAGTAATGCTGAGTGACTTCCGCCAAGTGACTTCCAAAGCTAAGTCAGAAAAGGCAATGTAGCTTCTTTTGGTTTCTCTAGAACCTTCCTGGTGGAATCCTGAGCCACTAGTAAGTTGAGTCTGGCTGCCCTGAGGTGGCCATGATTTGAGGAAGTTCAAACCAGCCCTCGCAGAGAGATGCCACACTGAAGCTCTGGGACTAAATGAAGCCACCAGCTGCTATATGCATACGTACACAAATGTACACACGCACACACACACCCCACCCAGCTCTTCAGCTCCAGCCATTGTCTGAAAGCAACCGCCCAAGAGACAGGAACCAGAAGCATCCCCAGCAGAGCCCTCCTTATAGAAACCACAAGAGGTAATAGATAATGTTCCCAGGCCCCACCACCCCTCTCCCCGTGTCCCTGCCAGAGACTCACCTGAAAGCAGACATTGTTGTTCCACTGTTGGATGGGAACGGGCATAGCAGAGAATTTATCCAGGACAGTCTGGTTGGCATCTAGAAGTTGGACAAGGAGTCGGTACATACAGCCACTGTCGTGTCGGGCTCCCCACCTGTGGGAGGAGGGAGGCCTTGAAGGCTGGACATGCCCACCTCATCTCTTTGGGTGTCTGCCTGCCTCCCCCCAGAATGGCCTCCCCATGTCTGCAAATCCAAAACATAGTCCTCGGCTCCGCACGCCCTGTGTCACCTGGGAGCTTGGCCCCACTGCAGACCCAGTGACTCAGAACCTGTACTAAACGAGGTCCCCAGCTGGTGCGCAAGGACATGCATTCTCGAAGCAGTGACTCAGAGCAGCCACCCTTCAAGGCACCTCCTCCAGTATTATTCAGGTGACAATGGAAATTGCTCAATGTTTAAATGGTGGCAAAAGATGTAATTTCCAATGGGTACATTGACATTTTAAAATACAACTTTCATATCAGTCATTGAAAAGGATCACGGGAGGAGCACCTGGCTGCCTCAGTCGGTGGAGCATTTGAGTCCCACACGGGTAGAGAGATTACTTAAAAATAAAATCTTTAAAAAAAATAAAAAAAATAAAAGGACCACGGGAATCTATATTTAGTCACGATGGGATACCCAGCAATATTAAAAACAAAACAAAACACAACAACATCCAATGTCCATCGATGGTAAATGGATAAATTACGGTATATGCACATAATAGAATGGTATACAGCAATGAAAGCAAACTCACTGCGGTTACACACAATTAGGAATCAATTTACGAACATGCAGTTGAAAGAAGCTAGAAACAAAACATATACTGTGGGACTCTCTCTCTCAAGTACAAAAATGGACAGAACTTGGGGCGCCTGGGTGGCTCAGTTGGTTCAGCATCTGCCTTCAGCCCAGATCATGATCCCAGGGTCCTGGGATCGAGCCCCACATCGGGCTCCTTGTTCAGTGGGGAGCCTGCTTCTCCCTCTCCCTCTGCCTCTCCCCCTGCTTGTGTTCTCTCTGTCAAATAAATAAATCTTAAAAAAAAAAAAATGGACAGAACTTATCTATGGTAACAGAATTCAGGATGGCGGCTACCCTGGATGGGTAATGATGGGAAAGGAGCTGGTAACATGGATGTGTTCACTCTGTGATAATTCAGAATCACATACCTAAAATATGTACACTTTAAATAAATAAATAAATAAAATATGTAAACTTAAAAAATGTACACTTTTGATGCTAGAAGTTAAAAGTTTAACTCAAGGGTAACGGGCTGTAAAAATACACAAATAAGTTTCTTCTTTCAGAGACTTCTCATCATTCTACTTCTTAGAATTAGATGTCTGCTCTACTTCTCCCACACAATTCTGTCCTCATGTAATAGTGACATATTCTTATTTTCTTCTGACCGGTCAAAAGACCGCCCCTCCATTCTGCGCTCTGCCAACCACATACCAAAATATATGAACAGAAATTAAAATTTTTTTCTGTGACCATAAAGATCTAAGTGTTAACATTTTTCCTTTGGGATTGAATTATTACCCAGCAGTGGTTCCCAGACTTGGCTGCAGATTGGAATCATCTGGAATTTATTTATTTATTTATTTGACAGGAGAGAGGTAGCAAGAGCAGGAACACAAGCAGGGGCAGTGGGAGAGGGAGAAGCAGGCTTCCCGGTGAGCAGGGAGCCCGACGTGGGGCTCAATCCCAGGACCCTGGGATCATGACCTGAGCTGAAGGCAGATGCTTAATGACTGAGCCACCCAGGCACCCCTGGAATCATCTGGGATGTTGACAAGATATTGTATAGCAAAGAATTTAGCCTTGTCCGGAGGTATGGTGGGGCTTTGCTCTCAGCTTCTGGGAGGTTCTTTCTGGATCCTTGGAATATTATGGCTGCTGGAAGTATCTTTGTTTGCCTGGGGACCTTGGGTCATACCGGATAGCCTACCAATGGGATTACAGTGGGGGGTGGCCGCATCCACACAGATAGTCTCACCGTGGGGGCTAGCCACTCCAGGAAGACCCAACAATGTGGCTTAGGATATGTCAGGTGCTATCAGTTGACCAGCAGTCCGAGATTAACCACGGGATGAAGCCCCAATAGAAATTCTGGGCAATGAAGCTCAGGTGCACTTCCCCGGTCGGCAATATTCCATGCATATTGTCACATGGCTGTCAGGGCAGGATTGCATCCTGACTCCATGGCAAGAGAGCAACAGAAGCTCTGTGTTTGGTACTTCTGTGTTTCGATGCTGCCCTAGCTCTTCTTCCCTTGGCTCATTTTTGACCTGTTATGTTTTCCTTGTAATAAACTGTAATCATGTAATCATTCAGTGAGTTCTATGAGCCTTCCCAGTGAATTATGGAAGGTGAGGGTGGTTTTGCGAATCCCCCAAACTTACAGCTGGTGTCGATGTGAGGTTGGTCTCGGGGACTGTGCCCACTAACTTTGCAGTCAGCTCTAAACTTCTCAGGTACTGAGACCCAGCTCTCACCCACAAGCACTCTGATTTAACTGGGATGGGGTGTGACCCGGGCATTGGGAGTTTTCAGTGTTCCTGCGTAATGGACAGCAAAATTTGGGAACCACTAATTGTTACGATCAAAGGGCACACCGCTGACCAAAACAACACAAATATATTACAACAGTTTGATAACTAATGACTAAATTACAAACAGTTTTATTGTAAAACACATCTCCTAATGAGATGGATTTGCAGAGTGGGGGTAAGTTAGGGTGTCTTTAGTTAAAAGTGAATTTGGGAGTGCCTGGGTGGCTCAGTTGGTTAAGTGTCCGACTCTTGATTTTGGCCAGGACATGATCTCAGGGTTGTGGGATTGAGCCCCACGTCTGGCTCTGTGCTCAGCTGGGAGTCTGCTTGGGGGGTCTCTCTCTCCCTCTCCATCTGTCTCTCCTCCCTCCCCCTGCCTCTCTCAAATAAATAAGTAAATCTTAAAAAAAAAAAAGTGAACTTGGGGGCACCTGACTGGCTCAGTCAGTAGAGCATGCAACTCTTAATCTCAGGGTCATGAGTTCAAGCCCCACGTTGGGCATGGAGCCTACTTAAAAACAAAACAAAAAACCGAAGTAAAAGTGAATTTGATAAGGCTGAAATTTCAAGCAGTCACTTTGCCTAACTCTCTGGTAGTCTTTACATCTGGGGGGCCGCACACCATAGTGAAGGGCTTGCTTTTTCTGTAAGACTTGAGGACTCTGAGAAAGGGATTGGACAAGGACAAACCATATGATGTTACCACCAGAGATATGATGTGTAGCTGGTAATTTTAGAACCAGGGAACACAGCTGTAGAGGATCTGGAATTGCCTCCTTTGAAATGATCTGGGTCATTGGAAAGTCTTCGTGTACACATACCCTAGTTTCAAGACCATCACTACAGAGCATAAGCTCTACAGAGGAGTCTGAGCCTAACTTCAGGTCTCCCCAATCCCTAGCTGTGCCACCAGAGCAAATCTCCTCCCCTTTCTGAACCTCTCGATTGCTCCCAAAGCTCTGAAAAATCTGAGGTCTTGAAATATACATTCTCAGAGGATCAAGGCTCAGAAAAACAAAAACAAAAAACAAAACCCCAAGAAACACAACTAAAACACTTCACCCTTATAAAGCACTGGCTATGTGCTTGACATGTGACCCTATCTTGTAAAGATGGGGATGCCGAGGCACACTGGGACTTGCCCAAAGCCATAAAGATGCAGAGCCAGGGACCTGGAAAAGTCTGGCTCCAGAATGTCAACTTAGGCAACTATTCTACACTGCGACCTCCTAAGGCAAGGAGCATGTCATTCACAGACAAGACTGAGCTGGGCCAAGTCCTCCTGTAACTGGATCCAATCTGGCATCTTGCAATCCGACTCCATTTGGGGGTGAGGAGAGGGGCTCAACGGTTAAGTCATTCACCTCCCTGAGCTGCATCTCTTTATCTGTAAGGGATTGTTAGAGGTGGCCTCAATGAAGTCACCCACGCAATGGTCATGGCGCCTGTGGTCAGTGCTGAGCAAAGGGCTGTTTTTGTCACCATACTCACCAGTCAGAGACACAAATCTCAATCTTGCCACTATCTAGTAGCTCTGGCCACAAACCCTCCTCCTCCAGGTCCAACACCTGCTTTTTGCGACACCAGCTAGGAAAGAGGGAGAAAAGTCAATGAGAACGGGCAGGTCTTCCTCACAACGGGCCCAGCCCTTGCGGGGTAGGGACATTCACCTGAAGGAAGACACGAAGCAGGTCTGCGAGGGGGCCCCGGGCACCGTTGACCTGTTTGCCTCCACCACCCAGCCGTCCCCACCGTGCTGCACCATCCACTTCCGGAGGCCCTCTGTTAAATACAAGAGGCTTGCGCCCAAGTTCCTCGCCCGCCCACCCGCCGGCCGCC